AAAAAAAAAAAAAAAAAAAAAAAAAAAAAAAAAAAAAAAAAAAAAAAAAAAAAAATAAAAATAAAATAATAATAATAATAACTAAATAAATAAATAAACAAAAAGATTTTAAATATCGTGATAAGGCTCTAGCAGAAAAGTGAAGCTGATTTTCGATTTAATTAATTTATATGGACAAGCAGAATAACTTCCTTTTCATTGAAGTAGATCCATCTTCCTCTTCATATACTTCATTTCAATGGAATACAGTACTCAAGATAACCTAAATATTAAATTATATTCATGATATAGAGAGCCTAGTTCTCATAGGAACGTATTGAAGCAGTAGTCTATGCAGAAAAACAAAAGAACTTTTTTTCAATGAATTTTCATATCCTTATGAAAGGCATTTCAGATATCCTGAATATTTAATTTTATTTATGATATTGAGAGCTTACTACTGAAGTCGTAGCCCATAGAGACTCGACTCACATTAGCTACGATAATTTATACGATTTTTTCCACATTCCACCTATATCGTGACAAAATCAATTAGGAATATGCAAATAGAAATTTGCTGTTCTCTTAGATAAAATATGCCTCTTTTAAGTACACATCTCATAAATATTACAATAACTCATGTTTTTCGTGTGAACGAGAAGTGAATCACCACAAAAAAAGGCAAAATGAAGTTTAAGCCCCTGCAGCAAGTGCGTCATGTAGAGCAGCATATGTTGATGCCAGTTGAATAAATAGGGTAACCGCACGATGTTAATCGGTGAGTAAATCAATCAATACGAATATTTGACGGTTTCGTTTACTCTACGATATTTATAGGCACTCACGTGATAAAGAGCTGTTTGTTAAATCTGTTGAGGTTGTCCTTTGTATTTGTACGCACAGGAAACACGACTTTACGGCTCCAAAGTCACAATTGAATGCCGCAAGCGGAGTCCCGGTTCCGTATTTATAAGACGCTAGGGCTCAATTGCGTCGGGCGACTAACATGATTTACATAGAAAATATTTTCGACAAACACTACTACTCAGAGCCCGAGTCAATTTCAGCAGGTGTTTTTCGCGTGAATGTGGTTTATGGCTCATTAAGCCCTTTATAATTCAGAATTAGAGTGAAATTTATATGGAATCTTACCAGACAACTGGCAAATGTTTGTCCGTCTATGAAATCATAAAAAATATAACAAAATATTATCTCGTTTCTCTTGGATGTAACCGAGCTACGTCAGGCTACCACTCAGGCTGATAAGACGATAAATTGAGTCTAGAATTTTTGAGTTAGTTGGCCTCGAGGGCAACGGAAGTGTTTTCACAGCTGTGTGACGCTATCACAGATTATTCCAGACTTATCCGAATGGCTGGGTCATTAATCTGCAATGAGTAATGAGTAATGAGCTGCTGCAGCATTCCCAGTGGCACGTTTAGTCCGGTTGACTGTGATTCGGACACACACATCTCTCATTCGACAGGCGGATAGCTGTGGCTGTAGCTGGAGCTGGAAATCACAGCTCAGTGGATTGCTACAGCCCTCAATTTTTGCATTTGGAAAAAAGGGAAAGCGCTTTTTGCTTTCATTCATTCATATATATATATATATATTTTTTTTTTTTCTGGCACGGCACTTCATAAATTTTCATTAGGCAAAAGCTTGTATATAAGCCAACTTGTGGCTGTTTTTGTTGTTGTTGTTGTTGGTGCTGGGATTGGCTTAAGCAGCCTAATATCCTCAGCAGGCCGATGCTTATATACCCTCGAAGTATTTTTGCTTTGTGTATTTATTTGGCAAAGAGATTGATAAATGCATTGAATACCGTTTAATAAATTAAGCTGATTATTAAGAAATGAAGAATAAAACTTTTTGAAATTTATTGTAACATTTTATATACACTAAAATCATTCTCTTAAAGCTGTTCTCTTTATATAGTCGTAGAATATTATATAAATATATATATATATTTTTTTTATTTGTTATATGCGCCATATATTCATTTGTATATCTTTTCAAGTCTCTGTCATCCTTTATATTCATATAATTTTTCTTCTCACGATTTAGAATAGTTTTATTCTGCTTATATCTGCTTGATAAGTTTGCAGCACATCTCTCGCAATATTTAAATGAAAATTGTATTGTATTACATGTGTAATTTTATATAATTCTCCAAGTCGCCATAGGACAATAAAGGGCAAGAGTGCAATAAAATAAGGCGCCCAATTGTGTCTGTTGACTTTGGCTAAGCAGTAAACGCGATTAGAGTTACGTTGGGCTAATCCAATTGGTTGTCTAATCCCCAAGTCGAGAAGTACTTCATTTAAATTATCAAGAACTGATCTAAGCTAACATTAGTTATGGCATTTGCCTTGTAACTTGGCTGTGATAATGCAGCGTACTGTTACGGAATTCCGCATCCATAAAATTTTAAATATAACTGAGACAACAAGTGTTTTAACAGCAGACAAAAAAAGACTAAGGAACAAAAAAACAAAAGCGTTTGAATAGATAAATACAGTTGCAGTTGTAAGTGTTCCAGTTAAATATTTACATGTTTGCCAACTGAGTTATCTTGGCCAAGTTTATAGCTAGTCTGAACTTTCTGAAATTCTCATTTAAATTAGTTGCACCAAAATGTTATCGCACTTACTTAACAGTGTTTGATATTGCTTTACATTTGTATTGTTGATTCACTCAGCTGTGAAAATGTAAACTTTGAGTCAAGATTGAAATGCAAATATTAAGTTGAATATATTAAGTAATAATGCAAATTACATTTGAAAAATCTAGCTATGTTAAAAAAACTGAAATATTTTTGTATATTTTATTTATAGATTTTTTTTTAATTTTTATTTACTTTCAATTAAATATGTTTTGTTTTAATTTGATATCAGCTTATGGTATATTTCTTTTTGTAGTAATTGAAAAAATGCCCATAAATTATTTAATTGTGCAAATATCATGAATTAAATATATGCAATTAAATATTTACAAAACAAACAATAACCTTTTTTTGAAATTTGTTTTTAATGTCTTTAAATTGAGTAATAATTGTTAACGCTTTGTGTTCTCCAACTATTTGTTTGTCACTTAAATATGCTGCATATGAAAGCATAATTACAAATTCATAAGCCTGTGAAAATACACAAAAACTGTTAATTTTGTTGTTCTTGTTTATGCTGGTTCGAGAAATATCTAGAAAGTATATTAGCATTATTATTTTTTATAGCAACTAACTAGCTATCTATGTTGTTATAAAAGTCTCTTAAGATAATGTGTATATCAAGCGGTTACTGTTGAGCCACTCAGCTATATCCGAAAATTTAAAAACAAATAATATCAAAGTCAGTCAGTTATGCTATACACATATATATACCTTCATATTAGTCAATTGAATTCTTTACGTACTCTGAGCAAGTATTCTGCACTCGGTTACGCCCCATTGCAGCATTGAACTTGTGTGGCTTATGCTTTTCTGCTTGGCAGGGCAAAAGTATTGAAAGGGCAGCTTGAACGGGGGTTGGATGGAGCAGGACCAAAGTCAAGCCAACATATATAAGTTAACACAATCGACCAGCAAAACATAAATGTTCAGATTGATCACGC